GACTGGTAGGAGGTTGAGCCAATATTGACAGTTTGAAATTATGTGAGTTAATAGTATATGTGTGTGTGTGTACCTTTGAATGAGCAATATATATAAAATGAGTTGAGCCCATAGTCTGGGGTGAGAGAATAGAAAAAGTAGCCTGATAATGACCTCTCCAAATATTTGTGTAAGAGGTCCAGGAGACTTTTTAAAAAGGCCAAAGTTTGGTGAAGAGGAATCCTCTTTTGATAAAAAAAATTCCATATCATGAGTACAGTATTTTGAAATGGAGATAGCTGAGGGCCACTGTCATAGTCCAGGGCAGAGAAGATACAGAAGCATCACAAAGGGGACTCAAGTCTCAAATTACAATGACTCAACTTTGGAGTGTGAAAGACACACAAAATATTCACATGGTCCTACTGAAGCCCAAGACTATATATCCAACTCTTACTTTTGATCTAGTAGAAATGAGAAGTGCTCAAAAGAGGACTACTTACTTAGGGTGACATTTTGAGGTGGCTTTGTATTTTTGAAAAGGACTGATTAATTTTGTAATGATCGTTTAGGTTTTCTTGATATCTGTGACATCTAAAAGTTACACAAAATCTTGTAGTTAGATCCTAGGTCAGTAAAAGATTTGATGAGGTGTTTTCCTTAAATGGAGTAAAACAATTTCCTTGCAGCGGGAAATGGGAGTGAGTACTATTTGAATAATAGGATAAAAAGTATCATGTCAGTGGGTAGAAGAACTAAACTGACTTGATGGCATGAAAATATAAATGAGAGGTTAAGCTCTAGCCGGTTTGGCTCAGTGGATAGAGCGTCAGCTCTCAGACTGAAGGGTCCCGGGTTTGATTTCGGCCAAGGGCATGTACCTCTGTTGCAAGCTCAATCCTTGGCCCTGGTCAGGGTACATGCGGGAAGCAACCAATTGATGTGTCTTTCTCCCTTCCTTTCACTCTCTCTGAAAATCAATGGAAAAATATCCTCAGGTGAGGATTAACCAATAAATAAATAAATAGAAGACAGATTAAAACTTTATTTTTTGCCTATTTCATTGTTGGAGTAGATTGCCTTTTAAAAAATATATTTAAAAAAATATTTTTATTGATTTCAGAGAGAAAGGGAGAGGGAGAGAGAGAAACATCAATGATGAGATAGAATCATTGATTGGCTGCCTCCTGCATGCCCCCTATTGGGGATCAAGCCTGCAACCCAGGCATGTACCCTTGACCAGAATCGAACCCAGGACCCTTCAGTCTGCAGGCCTACGCTCTATCCACTGAGCCAAACGAGCTAGGGCTGGAGTAGATTACCTTTGGTCTTTTCAAGTGCTTTCATTATTGTCAGTTTTAGGTAGGTACTAGTTTATTACCATTTTGCATATAACATAGTAAATGGACATAATGAGGTATCTGAGATGGCTGAGAAGTGGGGGCTGAAGATGCCCTTTAAATCCCGCCCCCTATCCCCCCCACACACAGTTTAGGCTGTGGGAACTGGAGTATATCACTCTTCAAGGATGTTGCTGTGTGAACAGAAGATTCCAAATGGATTTTGGCAATTTTTAAACTTCAAATTGAATGGATGGGAATTCTACCCTAGTGAGGAGATTGAAAAAGGTGTGGTTTGGGTTGAAAAAGGTTTGGATGGTAATGCTGATGAAAGAAGAGCTCCAGGGAGATTGCAAAGCACTGGCCACTCCATTGAGATGAATGTCTGGCCTCCCAAGGTGACTATTGGAAGTAACTACATTTCATTTGAATGAGTAAGCTCTCATGTGTTGAACAGATAGTTAACATTCCTTTGTATCCAGTCTCATAAATGTTTATAGACAAGGTTTTTTAAGATTTATTTTTTACATATATTTTTATTGATTTCACAGAGGGAGGGAGAGGGAGAGAGAGAAACATCAGTGATGAGAGAGAGTCATCGATTGGCTGCCTCTGGCACGCCCCATACTGGAGATCCAGTCTGCAACCTGGGCATATGCCCTGACCAGGAATCGAACCTTGACCTCCTGGTTCATGGGTTCATGCTCAACCATTGAGCCATGATGGCTGGGCTATTTTTATTTTTACAATTTTTATTTTTTATTTATTGATTTGAGAGAGTGTGAGAGAGAGAGAGTGCACAAATAGATTTGTTGTTCCACTTAGTCATGCATTCACACATGTGCCCCAACCAGGGATTGAACCCTCAACCCTGGTGTGGTGGGATAATGCTCCAACCACTGAGTACTCGTCCAGCGCTATAGGCAAGATTTTTTAAGATGGAGGTACCCAAGTGGTCTATGAAGGTTCCTATGCTATAGCTCTGTATGGGCAACTACTTAGCCTTCTTGTTAAATTACAGGAATTAATATATCTGGGAACAGGATGCAATGCCCCTTATAAGACTGATTCCTTGGGATAAAACCAGTAGATAGCAAAAACAAACAAACAAACAAGCAAACAAAAACAGGGGAACTAGAAGGTGCTGAAACAGATTGTCAGGCAGAAGGTTGGGATGAGCAGTGCAAAGGGCCCCTTCCTCCTTTAAATTGCGCAGCAGATTATTTACAGTTGATTTTGTGTGTGTGTGTGTGTGTGTGTGTGTGTGTGTGTGTGTGTGTGGTGTGGGGTAGTAAAGGGAAGCAAAGTAAAGTGATTGTGTAGGAAAGTATGGTAGGGAAAGATGAGGGGATATAGGTATTGTGGGGAATACTGAGGAGAATATTAGAATACTACCCTCATATGGTAAATTAGTAAATTAGAACAATTTACATTGGAGAATGTCTTCATTAGGGGATGAGGTTTGTAATTAAGTAGGGAAAATAGGAATGCTAGTCTCCTATTGGATACACATGCAAGAAGGCAGAGTGACAAGAAAGGTAAGATCTGTGGAAGAGGTTCCATACCTTTTTAAAAAATGTTTTAAAATTGATTTTTAGAGATAGGAAGGGAGAGGGATAGAGAGATAAAAACATCGATGAGGGAAGAACATCATTGATCGGCTGCCCGCCCCCCCCACTGGGGATGGAGCCTAAAACCTGGGCATGTGCCCTGCTGGGAATCGAACAGGCAACCTCTTGGTTCCTGGGTCAATGCTCAACCACTGAGCCACATCGGCTGGGCAGAGCTTCCATATCTAAAGCCAGGTAAAGTTATCCTTGTTTGGGTCTGTGTACACTTTCCTATTGAAAACAATAATTTGGACATGTTTTGACCTCTCTCTAAAGGCACTGTGGTGATTGGGTAGAAGTCATGGCCTTTACACTTTAGCCCGAGGATCTCAATGCCAATAGTCTCTTGGATCTCCTTGGAGATGTCTTAGATGCTGTTTTCCCCAAAGTGAGGTAATGGGTGGCCTCTCCTTTGCGTCTGTTAAATTTGAATATGAATGCCTCTGTCTGATGCGGTTCTCAACCTTTGGGTCGCGACCCCTTTGGCAGTCCAACGACCCTTTCACAGGGGTCGCCTAAGACCATCCTGCATATCAGATATTTACATTACGATTCATAACAGTAGCAACATTACAGTTATGAAGTAGCAACGAAAATAATTTGATGGTTGGGTCACAACATGAGGAACTGTATTTAAAGGGCCAGAAGGTTGAGAACCACTGGTCTAATGGGTGCTTTACCCAGATCTCTGGATTTCTTTCCCAGCAATAGGTCCCAAAGTTGGTTTTCTTTACTTATTAGTCATCACTGACCCAACCCTCCTTCTTAAATTGTCTACTGGCCACGCCTGTCCTCTTGAGGACAGATTCAGGGCCAGGCTTCAAGATGAATATTTTCCGGCTCTCATTTTTTAAAGTCATAATTGCTTCCAGGTCACCAGGCAGTGTGAATCAAAGAAGCCTGGGGGAGTATTTCCAGATTTAGTTTAACTGAGATCTTCTTAATCTTTAGTTTCTAATTTACTGTCTTTTTCAAAAATATATATATTTTATTGATTTCAGAGAGGAATGGAGAGGGAGAGAGAGATGACAGAAACATCAATGATGAGAGAGAATCATCGACCAGCTGCCTCCTGCATGCCCCACACTGGGGATCGAGCCTACAACCTGGGTATGTGCCCTGACCGGGAATCGAACCGTGACCTCCTGGTTCATAGGTTGATACTCAACCACTGAGCTACAGAAGTTGGGCTCTAATTTGCTATCTTGATGGTAGAATCCAATCATGAATAAATGGGCAGGTTTCACATTATGTTGTTCATGATTCTAGGGAATTTGTCCACTGGGCGCATACTCTGTTTGGACATTTTCAAGGTTAACTTTTTAATTAAAAAAAATCCTCACCTGAGGATATTCTTATTGATTTTAGAGAGAGGAAGAAGGAAGGAAGAAGGGAGGGGAGGGAGAGAAAGAAAGAGAAACATCGCTGTGAGACAGAACATCAATTAGTTGCCTTCCCTACGATCCAACCTGCAACCTTTTGGTATTTCCGATGACACTCCAACCAACTGAGCCACACCGGCCAGGGCTCAAGGTTAACTTTTTAAACAGTTTCTACCTTGGTAAAAAGCATTTGTCAGATATAGATGCTCTATTACCTCATTTTGTGTCCTTCTCTTCCTCATATGCATGATGACCATGCTTTGCTTGTAGTCGTTGTGAAATCTGCTTGTTTGGGTATCTTCATTTCAAAACAAAACCAAAAAAGTATATCCAATTGTAAAATCTTCTTTGATATTTTAGTGCTGTCCATCCCCTATGACCAACTCCCCTTAACCCTGAGATGGGTTCTAATTTGATGTTCTCTCCCTTTTGATAACATATTCTCTTGAAACTTTTCTAAAATGTCTGTCTTCAGTGCTTCCCCACAGTGTTTCAGTTTGGCCCATGATGGCGAAATATTTTAGGTTCCCCTATTTCATTTTTTCCCCTTTTGGTTGTTGTATCCTATGGGCTTCTCTTTTATGCCTTTCACACTTGCCTTTGTCTTCTAGTGTTTTTTTTTTTTTTTTTGGAAAGTTTTTTGCTTCATTATGGTTTCTCTTCTACCTGCTTGCTCTCAGCTTCGCTGCTATTTTCACCATTTAAAAGTTATTGTTTCCTATTAGTCCATTTTCTTTTTGGTTTTTCCTGTTTCATAGTTTGGTGGTTATGTCTGGCTACCTACTTGCTGCTGCCTGCTTGTTGGATTCATTCTCTTGGATCTTGTTTGTTCGTTCTATTTATGTGTACATGTGCTTTCTAAATAGAAAAGTTTTATTTATTGGTGTGTTTTTTTTCAACCACACTTAACACTTTGGGTTGCTGGAGCAAGTGCTCTCCTTTGTTCTCACTATGAGTTGAATGTGTCTTTTGAGTTTTCCCCCACAAAGTGGGGCTAACTCACTGTGGTCCCACTGCCTTCTAAGTGGTGATCAGCATTTGATTCTGGGGCCATGCAGCTGTTCATTTCTTAACAATTATATGGTTGTGACATCTGGGAAAATCCTTTGAGGTATTTCATATCCTTGTGCCTGTGCTTCCTGGGTCACATGGAGTTACCAGGTTTCTTCCAAGTTCCTTTTAAGAATTTTGCCTTTTGCCTTTGATGTGATGGTTCCCATCAGAGAGAGAGAGAGAGAGAGAGAGAGAGAGAGAGAGAGAGATTGGAACACACACCACACATGAGTGTAGGTGCTGCGAGCAAAAGCAAGTGGTATACGAGTGTGTACACCAGCAGAACCTACCAAGTATGGCATATCTGTAAGGTTTTTCCTTTCCTCTCGAGAAGTAGTGTACAATTGAGCAGTTAGTGATTTGATTGGACATGCTAGTAAAACAAAACCCTAGGCCTACTGGATTAGAAACTCCAGGGCTGGGACCTACAACTCTTGTGTTTTGAACAAGCACCTCAGTGATCCTGACTTGGGAAACATTAATGTCTGTTAGCCATCTTGACTCCTCCCATCCTGTGTGGGCATTGGCGCCATCAGTGCCTCTTTAAAAGTTCCCCTTGCTTATTCTCCAGCTCAGGAGGATCCATTCTTTCCTGCCTATGCTTTCTATCCCTCCATGTCCCTCTCCTGCAAAGGCTACTGCTAATTAGCACCAGTGGGCTTCATATAGGAAGGGGTGCTGCTCTGACAAAAGCACAATTCAAGACTGGGAGGCCAAGATTTAAACAGATGTTTCATCTTTGGGAGCTTGTGAAAATGTATGTATCATTTTTTTCGTTAATCCTCACCCAAGGATATTTTTTCCATGATTTAAAAAAATGTTTTTATTGATTTTTAGAGAGAGAGGAAGGGAGAGGGATAGAGAGATAGAAACATCAATGAGAGAGGAACATCATGACTGGCTGCCTCCTGCCCCCCCCCCCCCGGGTATCGAACCTGCAACCAGGGCATGTGCCCTGACCAGGAATTGAACTGGTGGCCTCCTGGTTCCTAGGTCGACACTCAACCACTGAGCTACACCAGCTGGGCTCCATGATTGTTTGGAGAGAGTGGAAGGGAGGGGGAAGAGACAGAGAGAGAGAGAGAGAGAAGCATTGATGTGAGAGAGACACATTGGTTGGTTGCCTCCCACAAATACTCAGGGACTCTGGAATGATCCTGCAACCAAAGTATGTGCCTTTGACCAGAATTAAACCCAGGACCCTTTAGTCCATGGGCCGACTCTGCAACCACTGAGCTAAACTGGCTAGGGCCAGTATCGGTTTTGATCTCTAGGTAGTTATAAAATGAGTATTGTGCGGTAATTATTTTGGTTTTTACTTGGTTTTCTTTCTGTGGTTGTTATTTTGTTTTGGGGGACAGGAGTCTAAAAACTCCTTTATCTAGGTGATGATATTTTTTATGTTGTTCTGTTTCCAAATGCCAGGATGTCCCCCTCTGATTGCTGTCCCAGGCCCTAGATGACTTTTATCTGCTGCCACTAACACTCATAATTCGTGTTGAAATTTATTTTATGGCAAGAACGACCCGTTCCATGACTGGAGTCTTCCAATGCTTCATAGTGAGAACGGTGAAAAAAGTACCTGGTGTATCAGCCAATAGGCTGAGCTGTTGTTTCTTAAACTAGGATATTCCAGGACAGTCTAAGAAACAGTCAAAACTTGATTGACCAGGATGTTCAGGGAATGCAATCCTGGTGAACTGATGTGAAGCAGTCAATCTATTTGTCATACTTCTTGTTGAAATCTTTCTAAAATTATGTGTTAACCCATATAACTGTCTTAGTAATATTAAAGATAATTTTCAGAAAAGGCAAAATCATGAGTCTTGTACAGATATAAAAATGAACACGTGTTAAAGATTTTATTTTACTCATTAATCAACAAGGGAATCAGACAGATGTTATAGATGGTTGAATGTAAAAGTCCGGAAAGCATAAATTTTTACGGAGCAAAGGAATTGAGTTGCAAATGGAGGCAAAACTGGTTTTTCCACAGTAGGGAGGGAAGTCAATCCAAACTCTATGGGACAAGACAGAGTTTGCATATCCATCAGTTACCTGCAATTTACAGAGGTACAAAATAGCTTAAAGACAGTGAACCGGGCTAGGACCTGGCAGCTCCGAAAGGGTGTGTGCTATAGACAATTCATAGGGTTTTCATTGAATTACAACAGTTTTTTTCTGTAGTAAGATGCATGGTGGATACTTTTTTGGGGGTTGATTTTTCTTCTTATAATTTTTCAGGGTTATCACCTCAATTCTCATCCAGGATTCAGTTCCATATAACATGCATTTACTAATTACTTACTATATGTAAGACGTTGCAGGAGGACTAGAGACAAAAAGGGCGGGCAGTATTTCTTTACCTTAAGTAGCTGATTGCCTGGTGGGGGAGACAGACATGCCACTCCTCCAATTAACCACACTGGAGGAGAATAAGAATCAGGGCTGCAGTAGAGGTAGGAATGAAATGCTTTGGAACCAGAGAGGGAGGAGTTAACTGACCAGGGGCTAGGGCTGGGGAGATGACATGATGACATTTAAGCTAGGCTTGAGGGTGACAGGGAGGAAGAGGGTGTACAGGAGAGACCATTTCAGGGTGAGGAAACAGCAAAGTCCTGAAATTGCATGGCCTGTTCAGGGAAGGGTTAGGATGACAAGGACAGCAGGGGAATAGCAGGATGTGGCAGAGAAGACAGAGATTTGAGGCTAGGTCATGGAGGGCCCTGAATGCGGTGCTAAGAAACACAGGCTTGATTCTGAAGACAGAGGAAAGCTATTGAAAGCTTTTGAGGAGGGAGGGGATGATGGGATCGAACTGGTGCTTTAGAAGATGAATTGATTGTAGAATCAGGAGATTGGAGACAGAGGGACGAGTTAAGAGGCTATTGTAATATTCTGGGTGAAAGATGATGAGGACCTGCATCAAGTTAGTGGCCAGAGGGGTAGGAGAGGATGGAGATGGCATGATTTAGGCTTGGCTCCTGATTGGATGTGGGCAATGGGAGAGAGAAGGAGTTGGAGATGAGGAAGGTGCTGAAATTTCCAGGCTAGGAGATAGTGGTGCTATTGACTAAGAGAGAAAACACGCTGGGCGTGGGGGTGGGGTGGGGAGCAGGTTTATGGAAACAGATAATGAGTTCAGTTTGAGACACATTGAGTTTGAGGGGCTCCGTGGACATCCAATTAACAGCAAGTTGTTGGCAGCTGGAAATTCTGGTCTGGGTCTAAGAAGAGAGGTCAGGGCTACAGGTAGAGATCTGGTTGAGTTGAAACTGTGGGAGCTCATGAGCAGAGAGACAAGAAGGGGCGGGGCTGACACACACATACACACTGAGGGAGAGAGGTGGGGGTAGTGGAGAGCCAGCAGGAGCCAGACAGACTAGAGGAGGATAAGAGAGGAAGACAGAAGGCTGAGGGCATGTGGGGGGGGAGGGGGGGGGGGGGTGGGAAGGAAGGAGGAGGGGGAGTGGGAGGAGAGGAGTGGAGCTGAGGGAAAAAGAGGAAAGTGAGATAAAGGAGGGAAAGGACTCGGGGTTAGACAGGCAGGAAAGGAGAGAAAGTTGGAGGAAGAAGGGACTGTGCCAGAGAGACATAGGAAATAGGGAGAAGCGAAGTGGGGGAGGGGGAGAGAGAGAGACTGTTGGGAGAATATGAGGGGGAAAGGGAGGTGATAAGGAAGAATAGAGGGAAATAGGAGAGAGATTGAGGGGGAAGGGAAGGGAAAGAGATGCATGGGGGTAGGAAAAGAAAGAGGGAAGGAAAGAGAAGAGATGGGAAAGGGTGGCAGAGGTGAGGAGAGAATGAGCATGATAAGGGCCAGGTTTCTGGGGTGGGTGGAGATAGAGAAGGGCCCTAGAGAAGGCAGCAGGCACAGAGTCAGAACAGCTAGGAGAGGGCCAACTACAGGGAAAGGGGTGAAGGCATCAGTAGCCTATGCTGCAGAGATAGGGAGTTAGGTGAGGACCAAGAAGTGTGCAGCTCTGCTCACCCCTCACTGCATCTTTCCCTTCGCTCACTCCCTGTGTGCCAGACTGGCCTCCTGGCTCTTCCTTGATTTTAGCAGGCAGCCTTAAGCCTTAGGACCTCTGCAAAGGTTGTTCCCTTTTCCATGGAATGCTCTCCCGCCAGATAGCCACATGGGTCCCTTTGTTTCCTTTAAGATGTTGAAATGTCTTCTTCTCAGCAAGACCTACCCTGATCACCCACTTTCAAGTTGTAGCCCATTCTGCCTCCCACCCCTGACCATCACCATGCCTCTTGGCCTGTGTTATGCCTCCTTCTAACACTACAATAAGTATAGAATCATTTAATGTGTTTATTGTCAGTCTCCTCCCACTAGAATATAAACACCATGGAGGCGGGGTTTTTGGTTAATTGTTGAATCCCCAGTACCTAGGACAGTGATGGCGAACCTTTTGAGCTCGGCGTGTCAGCATTTTGAAAAACCCTAACTTAACTCTGGTGCCGTGTCACATATAGAAATTTTTTGATATTTGCAACCATAGTAAAACAAAGACTTATATTTTTGATATTTATTTTATATATTTAAATGCCATTTAACAAAGAAAAATCAACCAAAAAAATGAGTTCGTGTGTCACCTCTGACATGCGTGTCATAGGTTCGCCATCACTGACCTAGGACAATGCTGGCACATAGTAGGAGCTCAATAAGTATTTGTTGAATGAACAGTATAATTGTGTTGAATATGAGCAATCTCTGAAAATTGTTTAAAGAATGAATTAAACAAATCCCTAATATGACTATGAGTTGCTTCTTTGGAAAGTGGAGAATAGCATAAAATTCTGGTCACTGTAGGTTTCTGTTTAATTGAACCTTGATGAATAAGGCTTTTGGCTAATAAGTCAAGAGTTTAAGTGTCTCAAGATAAGCTTATTGGGTAAATCTCTTTTTTTTTTTTGATGCCTCATTTTCTCTAGAAGGTGAATTGGCTGTGCAGTGGTTGTTAACAGTGAGAGAGAGCTGGACATTGGCTGGTGAAGGGGGTGGTATGTCATGGGGGTGACAGACTGAAGGCACAAGGACAGAAATGTGTGGTTCTTGATGGAACATTGTTGTTTGTTTCTTTGCTTATTTGCGGTCACAGTACAAGGGGTATTGCATCTGATTTGGAGGGAGCTTTAAAGCAGGTTAGATATATGCATCACATCTGTATAACTCCCAACTTGAAATCAGAATAGAGTATTTTTGAAGAGCTTATAATGAAATCGTGTGCTTCCTCTGGAGAGCTTAAATTGGCTACGTCACTCAAATACTTCAGTACCCATGAATTAGAGTTGACGAGAAAAAGATCCCCAGTAGTCTTTCACTGTTCACATATGGGAACGACCCTCTAATTGTAGTTGGTTAGGCTAAATGTGTGTAGAAAAATATACTGTCATTTCATTTGTCTAAAATAGATTGAATTTCCTCGAACACTCAAGCATATCTGTCTTTATGATAATTTAGAAAATCACTCTAGGTGATTAACAGCATTCTCATCTCCATCCTGAAACCTATGGATTCCTGAAAAGCTGGTGCTCCCTCATCCCCATTTGGACCTTAATTTCCCATGGTAGGCTGGCTTACGAGAGAGACGGCTTTAACATCTGGGTGCTATAATTACCTTTATTTAAGTGTTTCCTTGTTAAAGGTGGTTAAGCAGGTGGTTACAAGTTTTGATTTTTGGGGGATTCTTTTTCCTCAGGGGAAGTGGCCACAGCAGGTCCTATCTGGTGGTGAGTGGCTGTCATGATCTCTACAGCACCGCTCTACAGCGGCGTACACAACTGGACCAGTTCTGACCGGATTCGCATGTGCGGTATCAACGAGGAGAGGTGAGGAGGCTGGGAAGGTGGCTGTTGCCGGCTTCCAGTGAGCGGTGCCTACTCACCAGGGGGTTAGCCACAGCAGGGCCTGGGGAGGGACCCTGGGGATGTGGCTGGTAGTCATTTCTAATTTTCCTGAGATAGGACGGGGCTGGGATGTGTGAGTGGCCTGCTCTGCCTTGCCATCTCTGTTCAGATGAAGGTGAGGAGGCCAACAGATGACTTCACCAACCAGTATTTGTCTACATATTAAGAGCTGTCATGCCCTAGCTGGTTTTGCTCAGTGGATAGATCGTCAGCCTGCGGACTGAAGGGTCCCAGGTTTGATTCCGGTCAAGGGCACAAGCCTGGGTTGTGGGCTCTATCCCCAGTAGCAGGTGTGCAGGAGGCAGCTGATCAGTGATTCTCTCATCATTGATGTTTCTCTCCCTCTCCCTTCCTCTCTAAAATCAGTAAAAAATATTTTTTAAAAAAAAGAACTGTCAGATGGTAGAAAAAGGGGAAGCTCAGGCAATTGCAGTTTTTATTTGCTGCATCCACGTTTGGTGCTCAGGATATGCATACGACATTTTTGGCCCTTGATATAAGCCTGGAAGAAAGGCAGTTCTATCATTGAGCTTTATACTGGGTACTGTTAGTGAGTGTTCTGGTAACCAGTGCTTTCCTGCCTCACGAGATCAATGACGATTCACAGTAAGATCCCTATCTACAGAAGGGAGATCAAACTGCTTAATGTAGTTTTCATACAAAATTGAGAGTTGGTGGTGCCTGTTCCATCTGGGTGTGTGTTCAGTTTTCTGCACACCAGAATATTTCATTGACCAACCTCTATGTCATTTTCTGATCATGCCCCGTATGAAGAACACCCAAAGTGGCCTTTAGATTCTATATTTGACTTTCATAATTCTTGGCCAGAGCTGTGTGTAATGGTTACAATGCCTCTCCCATTTTTAGAGAAGGCATGGCTCTCCCATGCTTGCTGGTATTTAGCCGTTGTTTCAATCCATTGCCTGTTCACATTTGGTCAATCACCTAAAACATAGAACGATGTGGCTTTTCTTAAAATTTAAGATCTGGCATTTTCCTTGGATAAATCTTAGAAGAGTGTGGATGGGTATGTGTATATATGGGGGAGTGTTGGCAGTTTTGAAGGGAAAAGAAATGGACATCTTTGTGTGGATCTACTTTCTTTTTCTGTTGTTAACTGGAGAAGTGTGTACTTGTCTGAGGTTCAGGTTAGGAGACTAGACCTTTTTTATATTTTTTAAAAAGCCATCAGCACCTGACAGCTTAATGTTCTTTATACTGGGGAGCAAATTAGAGATGGACTTAAAAGGAATTTAATTTTAGAATATGAAAGTCAAGGCCAAGGAAAATGAGACAAAATTCTTCTCATATGTGCATGAGAAAGGTATTTTCCTTTGCATATGAGGTATGGCCATAGATAATTATTACGGGGTGGTCGGGGGAAGGCAGGGTAGTGCTATTGATTTGTGTTAAGTATTCATTGGCAACTAGTTGTAAGTTGTAAGTGGTTGAGACTTTGATGCAGACATCTGGACTAGAGCCTTCAAAAATATCAATGTATAAGTTACTTTCCTTCACTGTCCAGTCTAAATGCCTTCTGAGAAGGAGCAGGGAGTGGGCCTCAGACCTGATTTTCCCTCTTTATGGACCTTTCTTGGGATGTTAAATTACCAAAATATGCCTAGTAGTTAAGAAGACCTTTTAAGCGTTGTCATTTCTGATCTCATCTACCCTTTATTGTCACCTTCCCACTGCAGTGTAGGCCATGCTACAGCTGATTTCCAAAATGTGAACTCACCTTATTTAAAAGCCATTTCTTCAGCCCTTTACAACTTATGGAACTTAGACATTTTGAGTATAACACTGCACCTGTGGCTTAACTCTTTTTATTTTAATATATATTTTTATTGATTTCAGAGAGAAAGGGAGAGGGAGAGAGAGAGATAGAAACATCAATAATGAGAATCATTGATCGGCTGCCTCCTGCACGCCCCACATTGGAGATCAAGCCCGAAACCCAGGCATGTGCCCTGACTGGGAATCAAACCGTGACTTCCTGAACCACAGTCGGCTGGACTGTGGCTTAACTTTTAAAGTTATGTTTGGGAAGCCTATCCAGCTTCATCAGATACAGTGATGGCTGCAGGGACAGTGGGCAGGGGCTTTCTCCTGGCCCCAGGTGGCTGACTCTAGTAAAACCTCCAGCTAAAGCTCTCTGCTTGCATGCTTCCTTTTTGCACCCATTCACTCCTGCATTCAACAAACATTTATTAAACCTATTGAGAGCAAACCAGTCATCACGAGATATAAGTGGTGAGTACTATAGAGAGACAGATACAGGTTCTGTGGGAGTCTAGGTGCAAGATTGACAAATGTGCTCAGGGAATAAAGGAAGGGAAGGTTTCCCAGAGGCAGTGACATTGGAGTTGGGGCTTGAGGGATGAGTAGGAGTTTGAGGTGAGGGTTGGCCTTTCCCATATGGTATGTTTGGGGAAGACCCTGTGGGGAATGAAGGTGGTCTTGGGATGTGGTGGGACTGAAGCAGGGAAAGTCTGCGGGAGCTGGGAGAGTAGGAGCCTGGTGTGTGTCATGTAGTCAAGGAACTATAAAAGGCCTGGTCTGACAGGGGTGCTAGCCCTTAATAATTAGGAAAACGGCCTGGAAAGGTTGTGGCCAGTTCTGGTTTAAGTTCAACACAGCCTTGAGCGTAACAGCCCAGGGTCATCTCTATTGGGAAGAAATTGTGGGATTGATTTTCAGTCCTGATTGAAGCCTGCTTTGACCCCTGCTCCCTCCTCCTGGCCACCTGAACCCCCCTAACCTTGCCTTGTTGACCGAGCTCTCCGGGTTTACCCCTCCCCTGCAAGCTATTCCTGTCCCAGGTTCTCTCAATGGAGCAATTTAATGTTTGCTTAGCTTTGCACACCCTTCTTCTCAGAGGATTTGAAATGTGGCCTCACGACATTTTCCCAGAGCCTCGGGGGTTGGCACTCAGGCGTGGGATGGCTGGAGTAGCCAGGACTGCTGCTCCTGCTGCCACTGCTGCTGCCACTTCCAGTGTCTCTGGGCTGGCAGGTGGCTCTGCACTCTCTGGTGGAGGGCAGGGTTTCTGCTTTCAAGATGATTTTATGCCAGGTGGGAGCTGAGCAAGGGGGTGGGGGGGTGTCGAGTACGTAGCCAGCTCCCCTTTGCATGGTCAGGAGGGGAAATAATGTAAATAAATAGCATTTTTCCTCTGCAATCCTTCATGTGGAGTTGGTGAACAGGGGGCACTTCCGTTTAGTTTTTCTTGTCACCCTCCCCCCACCCCCAAGCATCCTTGGCAAATCTAGTTGGGACACGCTTCTCCTCCCATCCCAAGGCTGGGGGATAAGTCTTGCTTTTCTGGTCTCTCGGGAGTTGATGTCAAAGTATGTTTTCCCTTTTCCTCAGGCCCCCTTTTGCCCCATCCATGCGAGACCCCTGACTGCATCTCTAGCCCTTGCTTCTCCTTACTATCACTTCTGTTTGTCGCCAACAGTCATTGCCAGCAATGGAACCCTCTCACTTCTACCAGCTTAGCTGTCTTTTAAAGGGAACAGTCCACCCCTGCTCCCCATTGCCACCTCTGGGGCCCTGAAAAGATGGGGAGAGGCCTGTAGTGAACCCCTTGCCTTGCCTTTTTGCTTCTCTTTCCCCAGGTATAAGTTTGGAGTCCTTCACTGGTGCCCTGTTCCAGTGAAAGGGAGGAAGTTAGCCCGGCCCTCCCCATTCTCATGGGCTGGCCTGCAGGTGCCCAGACTGCCCTTTGGCTAGGGTGGTGGTGCGGCGGGCACTAGCTACTTTGGGAGGGCTCTGAAGAAGGGATCCAAAAACCCAGGCAATCTACCTCCCCAGAGGCACACAGAGCGTTCCAATCTTTTGCTCTGTAGGAACCACAGTGGGCACTTCTGCTGGAGCTTTATTCTTGCATCCAAACTCCCCTCGCACCATGGCTGCTGCCCTATTGTGTCTTCCCTAGGGCAGGCAGTGGTACGCTCTTGCTGTGGTCAAACCACCAAACTTCCAATGGGTTTTCTCTCTTTAACTTCACCCTCCTAGTCTGAACTTTTTTTTTTTAAGTCAGGATGTACCATGTTCTAAGGTTCTTATCCGAAATGTAGAGAAGATTTTTGAGCAGGTGGGACGATACAGTTAAGTTTTCCTCCTGTGGGACCCAGATCTCTGGCCTTGAGCCCTTCTCCCTGTGATCTACCAATTTGAATTTGGAGTCTGTGGCTTTAAAGGCCTTGCTTTGGGATGGGAGAGAATGCAGTGGTGCTGGGAGATCAAGGAGAGAATGGAGAGTTGGCAGGGGTGGGACACAGGCAGGGGAGAAAAGCAGGAGGAAGGGGCTGGCTGGAGCTTGGTGCTACTCTACAAGGTGGGAAGAGGTACCCTGGAGGGAAAGAAGTTGTACCCTTGAAATGCTCTTCAGCACCCAGTGACCTCCAATCAGTATCATTACATGTACGTACTAATAAGCATGGATCTGCTCTAGGCAAGCCCATCGGGTGACTGGGTGATGAGTCATATTTAGAACATGAAACAGTGGAGGTGGTTATTTGTTTTAGGAAAGGATTACCCTTATGGTACCTGCAGCCCGCTTCCTTTATAGACTTAAAATAAGATTGCATTTAAGAGAAAAGCCCAGTTTGCATGCCTTTTGATATCTTCTGTAACTCACCTCTCCCCTTTTTGGCAATGCCCAGTAACTCACTTTGATGGGTAAGCTCTGGAGATAAGGCAAAGGTGCTGGGGTGTCTTTCACACTCTTGATGAGAGCCCTAGAAAACAGGATACACAACCCCAAGAGGGGAATCTATAGATATCAGACCGGGCTCCTTTGCAAGAATTTGCAAAGCTGGGTGTGGAGGCTCTGGTTTATAACCTGGACCCTCCAATTCCTTGCGATTTCCCCCAAGCCAGCAAGGGAAACAAGGCAGGAAGGTTTATGGGAACCCAGGCAGGCAGGGGGCATTCTGGGGAAGATGGCTGGAGCCCAAAGACTAGGCCTCATGTTCCTTCTCTGGTTGTGTCTCCCATGATAGAAGAGCACCTATTTCTGATGAGGAGTCCACGACAGGTGACTGCCAGCACTTTGGATCTCAGGAGTTTTGTGTCAGCAGCAGTTTTTCCAAGGTAAGGGGCCATGTGGAGCCACATGCCACCCCCCAAAGGGTGGAGCTAAATTGCCCGGGCAATGTGCCCAGCCTGTCATCCTCAGAAGAGGGACAGGAAGGGGCAGGGTATTTCCCAGGAGTTGCTGTATGTGAGACAGAAATTGGCCAGCTGCTCTTTGCTTCTGCCGAGACCCGGTTGGTTAAGTTGCAAAGAGGACCAGCCATCGCCTCACCCAGGTCTTGAGATACTTGAGCCCTCCACAGAGAACTACTAAGATGGGCACGTTGCTCTGTCGTTGCAGGTGGAGCTCACAGCAGTTGGAAGTGGCAGCAATGCCCGGGGGGCAGATGCAGATGGCAGTGCAACAGAAAAACTTGGGCACAAGTCAGAAGACAAGCCCAACAGCCCCCAGCCAAAAATGGACTATGCTGGGAATGTGGCAGAGGCCGAGGGCCTCTTGGTTCCCCTGAGTGGCCCGGAAGACGGGCTCAAGCTTCCCCCTACTGACAGCACCGAGGCCGGCAGCAGCAGGCCCGACTGCTCCTGGACTCCCCTCAGCACGCAAATGAGCAAACAGGTGGACTGCTCGCCCGCTGGGGTAAAGGCTTTGGACTCTCGGCATGGTGTTGGGGAGAAAAATACTTTCATTTTGGCAACTCTGGGAACTGGAGTGCCCATGGAGGGAACCCTGCCTCTGGTTACCACTAATTTCAGTCCGCTGCCAGCACCCATCTGCCCCCCTGCTCCCAGTTCTGCCTCCGTCCCCCCATCTGTTCCCGATCCATTCCAGGTTCCTCTCTCTGTCCCCGCCCCAGTGCCCCATTCAGGGCTAGTTCCTGTCCAGGTTGCCACTTCAGTTGCGGCTCCTTCCCCTCCCTTAGCACCAGTCCCTGCCCTGGCTCAGGCGCCACCATCAGTGCCCACACTCATCTCTGATTCGAACACCCTCTCAGTTTCAGCCTCAGTCTTGGTGCCTGTGCCGGCTTCTGCTCCCCCTTCAGGCCCTGTTTCCCTGCCGGCTCCAGCCCCTTCCCCCATGTCAGTCTCAGTTTCAGCTCCTTCCTTGACCTTGATCCAGGCTCCTGTGCCCCCTTCTGCTCCGACCCTGGTCCTTGCGCCTGTCCCCACTCCAGTTCTGGCTCCCATGCCGGCATCCACACCTCCAGCAGCTCCTGGCCCTCCATCAGTGCCCATGGCCACTCCAACCCCATCCTCTGGCCCGCCTTCCACCCCTACCCTCATCCCTGCCTTTGCTCCTACACCGGTGCCTGCACCCACCCCAGCCCCAATCTTTACTCCAGCCCCCACGCCCATGCCGGCTGCCACACCAACTGCCATTCCCACGTCTGCACCCATCCCAGCCTCCTTTAGTTTGAGTCGAGTGTGTTTTCCTGCAGCTCAGGCACCAGCTATGCAAAAAGTCCCTCTGTCCTTTCAGACAGGGACAGTACTGACACCGAGCCAGCCGCTGGTATATATCCCACCTCCGAGCTGTGGGCAGCCACTCAGTGTGGCCACACTGCCAACCACTCTGGGGGTCTCCTCCACTCTTACACTCCCTGTCCTGCCATCCTACCTACAGGACAGGTGTATCCCTGGCGTGCTGGCCTCCCCAGAGCTACGGTCTTACCCATATGCATTTTCTGTAGCCCGGCCTCTGACTTCAGATTCCAAGGTGGTCTCTCTGGAGGTGAACAGGCTTCCGTGTGCTTCCCCATCCAGCAGCACCAGCACCCAGCCTGCGCCTGATGGGGTCCCCGGGCCTTTGGCAGATACTTCCCTCTCCACTGCTTCTGCCAAGGTGCTTCCAACGCCACAGCCTTTGCTGCCAGCCCCCAGTGTGAGCTCAGCCCCACCGCAACCCGCCAAGATGACAGGTGGCACCGAGCAGCAAACAGAAGGGACTTCCGTTACCTTCTCTCCCCTCAAGTCACCTCCACAGCTGGAGCGAGAGATGGCCTCTCCATCTGAGTGCAGTGAGATGCCCCTCGACCTCTCCTCTAAGTCCAACCGCCAGAAGCTTCCATTGCCGAACCAACGCAAGACGCCCCCCATGCCCGTGTTGACCCCTGTGCACACCAGCAGCAAGGCCCTCCTCTCCACGGTCCTCTCTAGGTCTCAGCGTACAACCCAGGCTGCTGGCAGCAATGTCACCTCATGCCTGGGCTCCACTGCCTCACCCTTCGTCATCTTTCCTGAGATAGTGAGGAATGGGGACCCGAGCACCTGGGTGAAGAACTCAACTGCGCTGATCAGCACCATTCCTGGCACCTATGTGGGAGTGGCCAACCCAGTGCCTGCTTCCCTGCTGCTGAACAAAGAGCCCAACCTGGGCCTCAACCGAGACCCCCGCCATCTCCCCAAGCAGGAGCCCATCTCCATCATTGATCAAGGCGAGCCTAAGAGCACTGGTTCCTCCTGTGGCAAGAAGGGAAGCCAGGCTGGGACTGAGGGACAGCCAAGCACAGTCAAACGTTACACCCCAGCCCGCATTGCCCCAGGGCTGCCGGGCTGCCAAAGCAAGGAGCTCTCTCTATGGAAGCCCACGGGGCCAGCAAATATTTACCCGCGGTGTTCAGTCAACGGGAAGCCCACCAGCACCCAGGTCCTGCCTGTTGGTTGGTCACCATACCATCAAACATCTCTGCTTTCCATTGGCATTTCCAGTGCCGGGCAGCTGACCCCCAGTCAGGGGGTGCCCATCAGGCCCACCAGCGTTGTTTCTGAGTTCTCTGGTGCGTCATCTGTTGGCCCCAGTGAAGCTGTGCACGGACTTCCTGAGGGGCAGCCACGGCCTGGTGGCCCCTTTGCTCCAGAGCAGGACACTGGCACAAAGAACAAAACTTGCCGGATCGCTGCCAAGCCTTATGAAGAACAAGTCAACCCTGTCCTTCTGACTCTCAGCCCTCAGACAGGGACTCTAGCACTGTCTGTTCAGCCTAGCAGTGGGGACATAAGAGTGAGTCAGGGGCCAGAGGAATCAGAGAGCCACCTCTGCTCTGATGGCACTCCTAAGACAGAAGGCCCCCAGGGGGCTTGTGGCCTGAAGCTGACAGGAGACACAAAACCTAAGAACCAAGTGCTGGCCACCTACATGTCTCATGAGCTGGTCCTGGCCACCCCCCAGAACCTGCGCAAGATGCCTGAGCTGCCTTTGCTACCTCATGACAGCCGCCCCAAGGAACTCATCTTGGACGTGGTCCCAAGTGGCAAGAGGGGCTCCAGCACAGAGCTTTCACAGCTTGGAAGCCAGGTGGACCTGGGGCGGGTGAAAATGGAGAAGGTGGACGGTGATGTGGTCTTCAATTTATCCACCTGCTTCCGGGCTGATGGCCTCCCAGCAGCTCCCCAGAGGGGTCAAGTCGAAGTTCGGAGTAAGGCCGCACAGACTCGAGTGAAACAGGAAAGCGTAGGGGTCTTTGCTTGCAAGAACAAGTGGCAGCCAGACTCAGTGGTGACCGATGGGGTGACTGAATCTCTGCCGTCTAAGAAAATAAAATGTGGCAAAGAGAAGGATGGTGAGGAGCAGCTGCCACAGGCAAAGGTCATAGCCCGGAGTTCTCATGGACCCAAGGTGAGTATTGGACTGAGGTTTAGGGTTGAGGGCAGGGCTGAGACACCAGTGGCCTGCTTTGTCCTGCAGGTGTCAACCTTGTTTAACCGTGGCAGGATTCTTGAGTAGCTCTGTGACCTGAACTGATTGGAAGGCTTGTATAGAGTGAATAATCTGCTGTCCCCTTTCTAAGTCACATTCTCCATATATGGTGTTCTAGCATGGGGAGGGGCTATATTTTGTAGGATGTGGGAAATGATTTGGTCCTTGAGGTGAGGGAAGCCATTGTCTCAGATGAGGTTGGAAAGTGGAAGAAGGTATTGGTGAGGGAAATCAATAACAGGCCCTTCCCAGCAAAACCATTCTTCCTTTTCCTTTTCCGCGATGACCTCTGGCCTTGAGAACTTGGGGCCCAGGGAGGGAAGGGGCCTTTGACAAGGTTGTTGTCTCAACCACTGGGGAGCCTGCTCAGGATTTGCTTGGAGTTTAGTGGGGCTAGAGCCAATTTGGCTTCTGGGCTCATCCACCAGTTTTCTACCCCCTCCCAGTGCTTAGGGTGGCAGCATTGGGGCTCTGCCCATTGAAAATTTGGTGTGCAAGGCAGGTGGGCATCTGGGCCTGGATTGTTTTTTTAAATAAATCAATATATATACAATATATATATTATTGATTTCAGAGAGGAAGGTAGAGGGGAAGTTATGTTAACAAGCGTTCAAATTGGATGTTGATATACATCGATGAATAGATTTGCAGCCAGAGCACCATGAATTTGTTTGTGGCAGGAGTTTTTAGTGTTTTTTGGACTATAGAGTGTTTTGAGAAGTGATGAGAGCTATAGAGCCTGTCCCCAGAAACATGACTTCAGAATTTTGACAATAATTTCAAGGGGTCCATGGACCCACCCCCTTCCCAAAGCCCACCTATGGACTGCAGGTTAAGAACCCTGGGGATAGAATTTGGTTGAGTTTTACTCAGTGACCTTACAACCATCTCTGTATGGCAGAGATATTCCAAGTAGGAACATAGGACATGACATAGTAGAGCATAAATAGTAGAGCATTTGCTCAGGTAATTGTGATCTGCCCTTGGGGGTAATAATAATAATAATAATAATAATAATATAGTTGTTACCATTTGTTGAACTCCTATATACTACAAGCTTCCTATATATGTTATCTAACTTAATCTTTAAAATAACCCAAGGAGGTAAACACTACACTCATTTTACAGATAAGAAAATAAAGGAAACAAACTGAGTGGGTATGTTATCCAAAGTTACACAGCTACTAAATAGCAGAGCTGGAATTCAAACTCAGTCCTCATTGGCTCCGAAGTTCACATTCATCTCAGCTATACCATAGCATTGTTCACCCTCATGCACAGCTGTTTCACTGACCACTTAGCAAGTGTTTGTTGAGCAGCTCCTACATGCCAGTTTCTCCCAAGCAGTGGGAATACATTGTCAGGAGGGAGGTATAGCATTTTGGTGAGTGTGCTCTCTGGAGCCAGGCACAGTGCCTGAGTTTGAATCTTGGCCCTACTTATCTGAGTGATGTCAGTCAAGTTACTTAATCTCTCTGGCTCTCAGTTTTCTCATCTATACAATGAGACAATGATAGTGCTTACTCTAAAAAAAATAATAGTGCCTACTCATAGGGCTGTGTAAAGATGAAAGGAGATGATGATGTGAAATGTCCAGAAGAGGCAGGTCAGTAGAGACAAAAAGTAGATCAGTGGTTGCCTCAGGTTGGTGGGGATGGGGATTTGGGGAGTTATGGCTTCATGAGTATCAGGTTTCCATTTGGGGTGATAAAAAAAGTTCTGGAACTAGATAGTAATGATGGTAACACAACTCTGTGACTGTTAAAAACAATTGAATTGTATGGTGTATCTCAACAAATTATATGTCAACAAAGCTGGTAAAAAAATAGATTAAATGAGGTGATATACTTAAATGCTGAGAACAATGCCTGGCACATAGTAAGTGCTTAGTAAATGGTAGTGGCCGCTGTTATTATTGTTAGTGTTGCTAACAAAATAGATGTGCTGTCTGCTCTCATGGAGCTTATATCTTGCAGATGACTCAATGACAGGCTAGGGGCACTGCCTATTCCTATCTTGGATGGACAGTTCACTGGGCTCACTGACAGATGCAGAGGCCAGAGAGTAAAGTTACAGGATTAGGGACCTTGAGGCAGTGCTTAGCAATGGCCTGTAATGATTTAATAAATGCCCATTTTTCAGGAGAGCAAATAACTTAGAACTTTCTTTTCTTATATTCCATTTTCCTGAGGAAAAAAAACAAACACGTTGATAAGCAAACTATGATCAGAAGTTAATTTAAAACAGCCCCTTTCAGGGCAGGGCCAAGAATCAGAAGAGTCACCTGTCTCCAACTCCACCTGCCCAGGGCCTTGCAGAATCCTGAAGAGCCTTTGGAATCATCAGAGAAGAATGAGTTCTGCTTCATCTGGCTCTGAGTGTATTTATTTATTTATTTTTTTTTTTAAATATAGGAATCGAACCTGGGACCCTTGAGTCCGCAGGTCGACGCTCTATCCACTGAGCCAAACCGGTCAGGGCTCTGAGTGTATTTAATTGTCTTCTCATCCCTTGTAAAACTTCTTGGGGAAAACCTTTCAAAACCCTGCTCACTGGAACATTCATCTTACACAGTGGCCCCACCCTCTCAACTTTTTGCCTAAGTTGGAGTACGCAATATATTTTCACTCTTAGTGCTGCCCCTGCAGAAGATACAGACAAACCTTCTAGATGTTGTACTTGTTTTTGTCTGTTTTAGTAAGTAAAAGTTAATGATCTGTACTTGAAAGAGCCAGCTGAAAAACGATATTCAGAAATAAGTAGGACATGTTCAGATTTACATGCATGGAACTTTTTCCCCCCCCTGACTTAAAATAGTTTTTCTCTGGCCATATCCGAAGGTCAGATTTTAAGCAGCAGTTCCTATCTCCTTTTCTCCTCAATTTTTTTTTCTCTTAGCACGTTAGATTGTAGGAACTGGCAGCTAGCAAAGGGAGGAGCTGAACTTGAATATTCAGCCGAATAAGAAGCAGGTGGTGTCCATGGCTTAGTAGGAATCCCCGGAATTTGATGGGGAATGGCAACTTCCCTGTCCCTGGAGAATTGAGATCCCCATTCCCATGGAAAATGTTCCATCATTAAGATAACTGCCATCCCCTTAGCTGGAGCTAGACCAGTGATGGTGAACCTTTTGAGCTCGGCGTGTCAGCATTTTGAAAAACCCTAACTTAACTCTGGTGCCGTGTCACATATAGAAATTTTTTGATCTTTGCAACCATAGTAAAACAAAGACTTATATTTTTGATATTTATTTTATATATTTAAATGCCATTTAACAAAGAAAAATCAACCAAAAAAATGAGTTCGCGTGTCACCTCTGACACGCGTGTCATAGGTTCGCCATCACTGAGCTAGACAGGGATAACCTTCAGCGGTTCTCAACCTGTGGGTCGCGACCCCTGAGGGGGTCGAACGACCCTTTCACAGGGGTCGCCTAAGACCATCGGAAAATACATATATAATTACATATTGTTTTTGTGATTAATCACTATGCTTTAATTATGTTCAATTTGTAACAATGAAAATACATCCTGCATATCAGATATTTACATTACGATTCATAACAGTAGCAAAATTACAGTTATGAAGTAGCAACGAAAATAATTTTATGGTTGGGGGTCACCACAACATGAGGAACTGTATTAAAGGGTCGCAGCATTAGGAAGGTTGAGAAGATGGTGGCCTATAGATCTGCTTGGGGGAAACAACTTTCTTCCTAGGGCTTGCTTTCATTGTTAAGACATTTTGCTTATTCTGCATTCCCTGGATACTAGATACTGAAAATCCCTACCCTGTCCTATTTCTTATTTGGTGGAATGAAGAGACCTCGGAGCTTGTGAGAATATGTGACTATTAGGCTGAGAGTGTCCTTACGGTGCCTGTCTGATGCATTGAACAGGAGGTGTGAGTTGGGTTGAGCAAAACAGTTGAGGACACAGGTAGGGAAATAGAAGAATGAGAGCTGATGCCAAAAGACCCAGTGTGGGAGCCAGGAGCACTGATCCCAGCTGCCACTTTGTCACTGTAAGTGCAAGTATGCTAACTTGCCAGGTTTGCCTGGTAAGTGGCAGCCCCTGAGTGAGCATATGCTGTGGGTTATGTGTTGCACAGGACAAATCATTTAACTTATTGTCTTGGAACCTCAGTTTCCTTGTCTTTTTAATGGGGATGATTGTAGCTTCCCTCTCAGGGTTGTTGGGAAGATCAAATAAAATAATAAAGAGGAGAGTATTTTGAAAAGTTGAAAGTGCTGCAGAGTATAAAGTGGCTTTATTAATAATGCCTGGGCCTTTTTCATGCGTTTCATAAGTGTGGGGAGATTTGGATTGCTCCTGTGTCATGCTTTTCTACTTGTTTCAGTTGAATCTGTTCTCTGTTATTAATTTGCACGTGAAAATAGATAATTTTTCTTGAGTTGGCCCGTATAGCGAATTATTTTCAGTTGTTGGTGTCAATACCATTCACAGTGAAGTTAGACGAACACTATAGTCACCGAGCTTGCAGAAGAGACATTTTTGTTTTCTGCCTATCTCTCTACTGCTGTTTGAATATAGAGAGTATGGGGCCTGATTTTACACCATTTAAAATGACTTTGGGTGTTTATTTAGCATGTGAATGCAGACTCTGTAGACCTGTTTAAAATGATGGGGTATAGATGTCTATGAGGATTACCTAGGGCACAGGATAAAGTTCAGAAAAACCTCTGCAGCCTGCTGTGGAAGGCAGCCAGCGGTCCCTTTCCCTGGCCCCCACCTGGTGTCCATGTGTCAGAATCGGGGCACAGGGCTCAATATTAGGAGAGCTTTCTTAGGAAGGGAAACTGACCTCAGACCTGACCTTCTCTACCTCTCCACAGTGCCGGAAGCCACCTAGTGACTCCCAGGAAGTCACCAAGAAAAGCCCCAAGGGGGCTTCAGATTCAGGAAAAGAGCACAATGGAGTCAGGGTAAAGCACAAGCACCGGAAGCCAACCAAACCGGAGTCCCAGTCTCCAGGAAAACGAACAGATGGCCAAGAGGAAGGTAGGCCCCTGGGTCCTGGCCCTCTGGGCTGGGCTGGGCTGGGCTGCAGAGGGATCCCTCTGCAGGCCGGGAGGAGGGGCTCTGAGACTGACCAAAAAGTGAGACTTCCTCACTCTGCAAGGAGGATATAATTGACACCTCTGAAATCAAAGGGAAGAGAGAAGGGAGAAGCGGCTTATTTGCCTCACCCTGGTTGCTAGAATAGAATAAGACATAGTCTGAAGGCCGAAAGAGGTGGTTTTCAGACAGGCAAAAGTCAGTTCTGCAACAGAGTAGGCAACCCATTACCCTGCAATAGGTCCAGGCTCAGAGAAGAAACGAGTTTAATGAGGATTAAGACGAAACAGCAGAATGGGGTTCGTTATACTATTTTCTTTACCTTGGGTGTACTTGAAAACTCCCATGATAAAAAAGCTAAAAATGAACAGCTAGCCAGCTAGAAGGGTTTAGAGAAATTCTAAACCTCTATTATTTAGGGACGCACAAGATGTTTGGGGTGGGGAGGTGTGTACTTAACCTGTATCCTCTGCCACTAATAGCTCCTTGGCGCCCTCATCAGAGAGAGAAGCCCCCAAGTATTTCTGCCCACAGTAGCCTGTGTTCATGGCCTTGCCCGTCTGACACGACCTGCCTCTTTTCTAGTCTGTTCTCATATAGCAGTTTTTCTCTGTCTGCCGCTTCCTGCTCCCCTCTTCCTGCCTTGCTCAGTCCTCTAAGATTCATTGAGGTTACCCTTCTCTGGGACTTGCTCCAGCTCTGTGAGAACTTTGTGGAGGTGCAGCAGCCGCAGAGTCATACAGGCAGCCTGGCCTTCTCCTTTCTGGCATGCTGGTGAATCTATTCGATGCACTGCCTTTTTTTGGTGTCAGCAAAAATGACCCAACTCCCAGGTTTTCAAAACCACCAGGAAATGCTCCTTCTCGAAAAGAGATACGTAGGTGATAGCAGCCTAATGGGAGCTGATAACTGAAACCAGGGAAAACATACACCCTCCCTTGATTTTCCCACCTGAGCCACTCAGGGGGCGCTTCCCAGTCCTTAGACTCTGACTGTGATATTTCTGCCTTCTGCCCCGAAACCACACATCACTTCAGGTTCCTTGGAGAAGAAAGCAAAGAGCAGTTTCCGTGACTTCATCCCTGTGGTTCTGAGCACCCGGACGCGCAGTCAGTCTGGTGAGTGAGTGCAAGGCTGTGGTCCATCTTGGCACTGCCAAGAGAGAGAGAAATCTAGCCGAGTGATTTTGACATTGGCCCAGTTGGAGATTTGGGAATTTGATTCACTGTGCCAAGGTGCCCAGCTCCTGGTGGAGACGAGAGAGCCTAGGGTGGGGATGGGTGGGGGGATTGCCCAAGTTGTGAGGAATATTTACTTAGATTTTCAGAACAGGGATTTGACACCTCTTGTTGGCAGCCAATGGTAGAAAGCGGAAAGGCCTGTGCCACTTAGGCAAACTGGCTCTACCGCAAGCTTTGGCATCTCATGATTATTGGGGCCAAGCTTGGATACAGACATTTAGCCCTAACCCTAACTCTGGTTCACCCAGATTTTTATGCAAAGTGGATAGATTGGGGAAGCAGGGCCCAGTGTAAGCTCAGTTATCTGACATTCTATTAACTGACACTTCAGCACATGGAGAGCACAGTGGTAATTGGGACTCATAATGACAGCCTGGAAGCCTCACAAAATCCTGAAGTGTCCTCTGAATCATCGAAGAGGGCTTACATTGCTACCAGCCCCATTTTCGCATTAAACACATTATACTGCATTTGATTCTTTAGAAATTGGTGATCCTGTGTGATCTCTATGGTGATTCTGTATTATCCAGAATATTAGATTAACCAGAACACTTTGTTCCCTGGCTGGTCTGTATAATGGCAAGTTTGCTGGATATTTGCTGTCTTTAAGTGGTGCGACTACTTGAAGCTTTGGTCAAGGGCTGCTCTGTTTGCCTCAAACCATTTCTTTCTTCTGCTTACCTCACTTGGCTTTGGAGATGGTTGAGTTAATAGCCGGGCCTTGGGAGAAAGAGGGTGGTGTCTCAGATCTGCTTCTGAGGGAGATGTCAGATCCCTTGTAGTGCTAAACTGGGCCAATTTAGGATTATACTTTTGTTATTAGCAGAATTGAAGGAAGGAGTGGGGAGGAAAATGGCCTCTTGGCAAAGTGGCAGAAGAGGGTAGGGAAGAAACCATCATCCTGGGGTGGTGCGGAGAGGAGGGGGAAATGCTTTGCCAGAGGTGTAGAACAGCTGCAGTGGAATAGGGGGAGGTACCAGGGAGAAAGCTCCACCCCTGGACTCTTGCCACTCAATAGGAGGTGGGGTCAACATAAGGGAAGAGGGACTGGCTGAGGAGCATTTGGGCGGGACTAACCCAGGCCGTGCCACAGGAAAGGAACTCCTTCTTGCTTCGCTTTTCCTGAGACCCTTCTTTTGTGAAGCCCCAGATCTGCTTCTTTAGGGTGGCTCTATCAGCGAGATTGGTGGTCACATAGTAAGCAGGGGCGGGGGACCTCATGCCAGTCTACCCTCCCTCACTCTCTTCTAAATCCTAATTTCCCAAGGGGCAAGGACCTGTGGCCCTCTCCTGCTCCTCACAAAATGCTTGGTACCTTGTAAGCACTAAGTAAGAGTTTGTGGAATGAAATAAAGTGGCAACATGGATGAGGAAGGGTGTGTGGTTTGGATACTCAATAGTTGTGTGATATATTAGACTCTGTAAAGCGCTTATGGGCAAATCATCTCCTTTGAGCCTCAAAACAGTCCTGTAAGATCTTTAAGGCAGGGAACAGTATCCCCGTTTCATAGATGAGGAAACAGAAGTGAAGGAACCTTCCTACAGCATACAGCTAATAACTGCCAGAGCCTGAACTTGAACCCAGACGTTCAGATTTCTAATGCAGGACACTTGCTTCAACACCATGCTTTGTCCTTTGAAGAGATACCTGACCACCTTCTGTATGTCCTGTCTACAGGAAGCATCTGTAGCTCCTTTGCTGGAATGGCAGACAGTGACATGGGAAGCCAGGAAGTCTTCCCCACAGAGGAGGAAGAGGAGGTGACCCCCATCCCAGCTAAGCGTCGGAAGGTGAGAAAGACCCAACGGGACACCCAGTATCGCAGCCACCACGCCCAGGATAAGACTCTGCTGAGCCAGGGCCGCAGGCACCTGTGGAGAGCCCGAGAAATGCCCTGGAGGACAGAGGCTGCCCGGCAAATGTGGGACACCAATGAGGAGGAGGAGGAAGATGAGGAGGAGGGTCTGGTGAAGAGGAAGAAACGGAGACGGCAGAAGAACCGAAAATATCAGACTGGGGAGTACTTGACCGAGCAAGAAGAAGAACAGCGGCGGAAAGGGAGAGCTGGTAAGGCTGGCTGGGTGCTGCCCCAGTGAGCTGTTGTCACCCAAGCCACAATGACTTTAGCTTCTGGGCGCCCTCTGCCTTTTCTATACCTGCCAAAGGCCTCTGCACCCAAAGAAACCTGGTGCTATGAGCCTCAGCTGCCAGAGGGGTCATTTTTAAAAATATATATATTTTTTTATTGGTTTCAGAGAGGAAGGGAAAGGGAGAGAGAGATAGAAACAATGATGAGAGAGAACCATCAATCAGCTGCCTCCTACATGCCGCCCACTGGGGATCAAACCTGCAACTGGGCATGTGCCCTGACCGGGAATTGAACTGTGACCTCTTGGTTCATAGATTGTTGCTCAACCACTGAGTCATGCTGGCTGGGTGAGGGGGTCATTTTTAAAAATATATATTTTTATTGATTTTAGGGCGGAAGGGAGAGGGAGAGAGAGAGAGAAACATCAGTGATGAGAGAGAATCATTGATTGGCTGTTTCTTGCATGCCCCCTATTGGGGATCAAGCCCGCAACCTGGGCATGTGCCCTGAGTTGAACCATTATGTCCTGGTTCATAGGTCGATGGTCAACCACTGAGCCACACAGGCCGGACCAGAGTGGGTCATTTAACACTAGTCATAGGTTTTGGCTTGGGGTTGAAATTGAATGAGTTTGGACTAATCTACAGGTGAGCTGAGGATACATAGGCCCAAACCCTTCAATTTGTTATAAAAGTCTGAATCTATGGTCAAGGCCACAGTGACATCCTGGCATGGTACAACTCAATACCAGGGAATTCTCTGGTTGGCTTGAAGGAGTTGGGCTTTTTGGGAGGCTGGGCTCTCTCACCTAGAATCTTGGGTTCAGGAAGGAGGAGGGCATTAATTGGCTTTTCTGGGATGTCTCCAGCTCCTAAACTAAAATAAAGTACAATGTTTTCCTCAACTCAACAGAATAACTTAAAGTAGAAGTAGGCATAACTTTGCTCTCTCCCTTAAAGCCACAAAGGCTATTAAGAGGCAGCATGAAGCCATAGCCAGTTGCTCAGTGGTTAGAACATCGGTCCATGGACTGAAAGGTCGTGGGTTTGATTCCGGTCAAGGGCACGTATCTTGGTTGCAGGTTCAATCCGCAGCCCTCGACCAGGTGTATGTAGGAAGCAACTAAAAAATGTATTTCTCTCACATTGATGTTTCTCTCTGTCTCCCCCCCTCCCTTCCACTCTCTCTACAAATAAAAAAAAATATCCTTGGGTGAGGATTAATAAAACAAGACAAAAGAGGCAGGGTGAAGCTTTGAGGTGACCGAGGTGGCATTATTTTGTTGGAACCAAGTTGGACCCAAGGAGAAAAGCAGGTTTTCTTTGGCCATGTCAGATGCTATAATATGTAATCACGAAGGCACAGCCTGTCACCTAGCTAATATCAGTATGTTTCACTAAGTACTGTTCAGGAGCATTCCTATAATGGATTTCTAGATGAGCAAAACACACATCTCTGGGCTCAAAAATAACACCTCTATCTCGCACTCACTCTCTTTCTCTGACCTCTGCCCTTGAAGCAACAATTGATTGTCTCCTGTAATGTATTCATCCTGAGCTGCTGTCAAATATCTGCAGCTTCCTGATTAGCAAAAACTGAATAACCGCACACTGAGCCGGTAGTAGATATTGGGCTTGTTATAATGCAAAGAAGGCTAAACTTCATTTGCAGCTCTGTTTAAATAGAGACATATATGATACCGATCCCTACACTTATGAGAGTAATTGAGCTAATTTTCATCAACTATGTGAGACAGCAGGGATAGTTTTTCCTTTTTTCTGTCAGAGCCATAATGGATTGGTCAGGAATGAGTTGTCAAGCTGTTGGCCTCAGCCATTTGTGTTCGGAGGAAGAGGAGCTTTTGTAGCACCAGTCTTCTCTAATGAGGGCTAGTTTCCTAGAAACTTGGAAACTTCTTATTGAATTTATGGGCTTTTGAAACCAGAAGAACCTTCAAGGTTGCCTGGTCCAGTTTTCCATCCAATACAGAGATCTCCACAGCACTCTTGGCAGGTAGCCTTTCCTTAAACAGCTCCAGGAGCATGGAGAACACTGCTTAGCAAGGCCTCCTATTTGACTTGGGGGCAGCTCCAGTTGTTGGAAAGTAGGTCATTCTCCCTCCATGTGTGTGTCTAAGGGTTTTCAGTTGAGGTTGTTGGCTTTGGCATATGGCCTGGTCACCTTCCTCCAGATCTGGTAGTGACCTTCATGAAGGAATTGCTTGGCAAACATCTCTCTTCTCAAAAAACTCTGATCCCTCCTATTACTACTACCCACCTTTCAGGTGGACATCAGAGAGTCAGGCAGAGTCCAAACTAGACAGGTTACCTTATTCCCGTCAGAGCTTCATGACCTTTTCTTTGGTTCTGGGCTTGTGTTATTCCCTTCTTGGCCTACAGAAGGGAGAGGAAGAGCTACTCCAACTCCCACACCCACTATCTCCACTCTCCGTTCCTTTCTGTGTTACCAGGAAGCCCTCGCTCCACCACAATTGTATAAACTCCAGAGCCTGCCCTGGTCTGGGTAACGAGGTAGGGGCTGCTGCCTTTTTTGTGGCACTGAATGCTGTAATATAGCTACCCCATGTTTTCTGAGGTCCTCACAAGGCACGTTCTGTTCCTTCCTCTTTTTGCCTCAGCTCAAACTTGTTGCGTTAAAATCCCTGGTTTAGAATATTTTGATCGGAAGTGCCATTACAACCCATCTAGTACAGCAGTTCTTGGATGGGTTTGGGGACCCACTAGTGCAGCGGTTCTCAACCTGTGGGTCGCTACCCCTTTGGCGGTTGAACGACCCTTTCACAGGGGTCGCCCAAGACCATCCTGCATATCAGATATTTACATTATGATTCATAACAGTAGCAACATTACAGTTATGAAGTAGCAACGAAAATAATTTGATGGTTGGGTCACAACATGAGGAACTGTATTTAAAGGGCCAGAAGGTTGAGAACCACTGCACTAGTGGGTTGGACTAGTTAGGAGAAAGTGGTAGTGTGACTTCTGGCCTTCTAAAAGCTTTGCATAACCTACAGTCAATTCCTCATACTGTAATGATGGCTCCCACATCTGGTCTGCCCTTGGTGATGCCACATGTGAGAGCACGTGGCCAGGTTCAGGGAGGCGAGTTGAGAACTCTTGGATCTTGGCAACCCCCTCATTTTACAAATTGGAGAAACCAAGGCTGCAGCTATACATTTGACAGACATACTGATCTTATGCCATGTACTAGGTAGGCATGGTGGTCAGGCTTATGGGGGAGATAAAGAACACATGGGCATGGCCCTATGTAAAAAGCTTACACTTAAATAATATGATAATGATGCCTTACTCTTTCTAACTCTTTATAAAGGGGTTTTGCATTTGTTACCTCATTTAATTCTTATGTTAGTCCTATGATGTGGATTATATTCTCCTCATTTTACATGCATAGAAATGAGGTTTGGGGAGGTTATGACTTGTCTCCAGCCAGTCACACAGCTAGTGGTGTGGCCAAGCCATGTAACACTAATAATAGCTAAGAGATAAGGGAAAACCCCGTCTATCCCTTCTACATGTGAGGTTTAGGACTGACCTGGGTGATGAGACTCTTGGTAATGGGGTTCCCAGTGCCAATCAGGGATCCCTGCTCTGGAGTTGGAACCAGTTGTAAGAAATTAGGAAGTGCTTTGTTCAGTGAGCTGTGGGTAGAATTAGAGATGTTACCCAGTCTGTTCCAGTAACTTGATTTCCACCTCAGGGGGCAGCAGGTTTCTGTGATTGTCCACCGGTTGAGTCCCAATGGCACTTTCTGGTTTTAGGGAGTTTCTGTGGCTTTGATCTTTCTGTCCTCAGAGAGTGACCAACAGGGCAATCAGGTGGGTAGAGTTGAGGCTATGAAGGAAGTCTCCCACCATTTACTCCCCACTCTAGTATGCTTCATACTTCACTTCAGCAGAGCTTCTAAATTTGTTTTCCCATTGGAATGGAGAAAGAGGCAAAGGGGATAGGGAGAAAGCTGAAAAGGAAGTTCTGATTTGCTTTGGGCTTTGGGGAAATCTTTTAAAAATGACCCTCATTTTGGGGACAGACAGATGAGTCTCCCCCTCCTGGCAGGGCTGGGAGTTGTCACCTGCTTATAGAGGAGGGACTGACACTGAAATAGAGTGTCCATTTGAGAAGTAGTTCTTGGAATTGTCAGCACCAATACAGGTAGATAATTACACGTTTGTACTGAGATTCTAATCTCCAAATTCCTCTGATTCATGTTGGAGGAAGGCTTGATTTTTCTGTGTTCTATTTCCCTGACATTCCTTCTTTCCCCTTTGGTGCCTTCAGATTTAAAGGCCCGTAAGCAGAAGACTTCGTCCCAAAGTTCGGAGCACCACCTCAGGAACAGGAACCTTCTCTTGCCCAACAAAGCCCAAGGGATCTCGGATTCACCAAATGGTTTTCTCCCAAATAACCTGGAGGAGCCAACCTGCCTTGAAAATTCAGAAAAGCCATCAGGAAAACGAAAGTGCAAGACCAAGCATATGGTGAACGTCTCAGAAGAGGCAAAGGTGTGTTGCTAGCTACTGGGAGTTGTGGGAGAGGGGAGTGGGCTAGGGTTGCAGGCTTTCCAGAGGCTCCTCTGTCAACAGTTCTCTGAGTGAGACAGTGAGTGAGTGAATGAGTGAATGGGAGGATCACATTAACCCATATTTATTAAAGTATTTTAAACTAGTTCTAGAAGCGTTCAGGGGAGGATTTGAAGTTAGAGCTGACTGTAAGCATTTGCAAAGTATAGGGTTTGGCTCATGATGGCTTTTCCTCCACAAGCCTTGGATTGCTTTTGAGTTAAGGAAGAGTTAAAGAATATGGCAGCCTGAATAGCTTGTTAACATCCAATCAAGAAGCTTTTGTCTGCGCTTAACTCACTGGGAAATCAATCAGGAAGATTTCTGAGTTAATCAAGGTAGCAAGCGGGAGCAAGGTAGTTAATGTCTAGACAAAGGTTGCTGAAGGGTGGGGCCGAAGGAATTCCACTTGGGTCCCTTTATAGCCACCCATCCCCACACTCACTATCCAGTCGAAAAGGAGCAGGTAAGTGGGCACTCACCATTCAGTAGCCAGGCAAACATTCTAGAAACCCTGTTTAAAATTGACATCTCTTTTGGGTCTGATGTTAACGACATGGGTGTTAGGTTCCACATTATACAATTTGAAAAAATCACAGTTCTCATCATGGGTGAGCTATACATTTGAGAGAAGTGAAAGTTTGGGTTCAAATGTGTACTCGTAATATGTGTTCATCATTGCCAGCAACAAAAATATGCTCATATTGGGCTTTTTATGGTGGTTGTGCTTCTTCTTGCTCTTTCCAGCTCCCAAGCAGGGATCCCTGCGGGGCACTGGCAAAAGGTGGGAGACTAGGTGCTCCTTTGCCCCCCCTTCTTCCACATTCTGGAATCTGGTTCCAGCTCAGATGAGGTACTCAAATGTAATTTATTATCTTTAAAAATAGAGATGAGTCCTAGCCAGTTTGGCTCAGTGGATAGAGCATTGGCCTGCGGACTGAAGAGTCCTGAGTTTGATTCCGGTCAAGGGCACATGCCCAGGTTGCAGGCTCCATCGGCTGTGCAGGAGGCAGCTGATCAATGATTCTCTCTAATCATTGATGTTTCTCTCTCTCCCTCTCCCTTCCTCTCTGAAATCAATAAAAATATATTTTAAAAAGAAGAGATGATACTCCTTCCATCTCACAAGGGTGTTTAGGGGAACAAAGGAGGAAGTATGTCTGTTAAAGGCTTTCATCATCCTAAAGTGCTTTCTGAGTTGGTGTACATCCTTGAGCTTTAGCCTAGGCAAGAAAGAGGGGACAGCCCTAGCTGGTTTGGCTCAGTGGGTAGAGTGTTAATCTGCAGACTGAAGGGTCCCAGGCTCGATTTAGGTCAAGGGCACTTACCTGAGTTGAACATGTCTCTCTCACATTGATGTTTCTATCTGTCTCTCGCCGTCCCTTCTACTCTCTTTAAAAATGAATGGAAAAGTGAGGGGGATGTGGGAAGAGACTGTACAAAAATCGTGCACCTATGGATGAGGACAGTGGGTGGGGAGTGAGGGAGGAGGGTGGGGTGGGAACTGGGTGGAAGGGAGTTATGGGGGGGAAAAAGAGGAACAAATGTAATAATCTGAACAATAAAGATTTAATTAATAAAAAAATGAATGGAAAAATATCCTTGGGTGAGGATTAACAAAAACAAAACAAAACAAAAACAATGAGGGGTCAGAGGTACAGAGTAGCAAGGGAGCAATGACCATTCCCTGCAACCCCCAGAGGGCTGAGAGGTGGGGGTTCTGAGGGGAAGGGCAGGAAAGTCAGGTCTGTGCTGAGTGCTCCATTCACACAATAGCTCTCAATTCTCACAGCGACTCTTGGAGGTAGGCGCTGCTGTCTTCTTTATAATTAGGAAACTGAGGCTCTTGGAAGTTAAGGGACTTGTGCAAGGTTACTTTGGGGTCCTAAGTGACAATTGGTTCTTGAGGCAGGCCAGGCTGCCTACTGGAGCCCCACCCCTAGCCCCACCCATCCTGCTCTTTGCATATGCCTCCACCCTGTGAATGGATGGCTGCTCCTCTATCCAGGAGTCACTGGGGGAGGGGACGGCCAGGGAGGGAAACACTGCAACCCTGAGCAGTTTTGGCAAAGGTGGGAGTCACCCTCCCTTCTCCCAGCTCTTCCAACATTGAGATGGCCTTGTCCCACACAAAGGTGACCAGCTGCCTCGCATCCTGGAGCACATGCTGATACTTCTGTCTGGTTATTCTGCTTGGCGGTGTGTCCACTGAAATGTTCCTCCCAGAGAGGTTTTGTCTCTCACAGAGCCTCACTTTCTCCCTTGCACCTTTCTTTCTCTCCCAGTCACCACCACCTACTCCAGTTGCCCCCATGGCATGGGGTTTTGTAGTGGGAAACAAGGTAGGGAGTGGTGGGGGACACGCCTGCAACACTGAAGCTGGGGCATTGGCCATAGGCTTCTTCTCACAGGGGATCCGAGCCAGGATGGAAGGGGGAGGGGGAGGTGACTCCCATTTACTCTTGTTCCTCCCCTTCTAAGGCAGCCTTCCTTGTCTCTGGCAACTCTGGCCCCTAGAAGGAGAGTTACCCTTTGGCTCCTATCTTCGCTTAGCAAAAACCTGGGCCCTTTACCCAGCATCCTCCAGTACTGCCATTATACACCACTGTCCTCCTGGCAGCAGAGCAGCATTCTACACTCAGAACTAGTGCCTTCCTGCTAGTGATTGTATCTCTCTGCCCCTTTGGGAAGAGGATGGATAGCGGCTCATGTTGTCTTGGGATTTACCAGAGGAAACAAATGCCCTGGCCCTCCTTTCCTGGCTTCATGTCTTTCTAGGCAACTTTTCTGGCTGCCCAGGGCTTGGCAGATGGCTCAAGTCAACAAATATTTGTTGCAACTACGTGCCCAGCCCTGAGTTAAACACTATAAGGAATAAAAGAGAAGATGACAGTATAAACCTTGCTTTCAAGGAGCTTAAAACTTAGCAGGGGAGGCCAGACTTGCCCATGGCTTCCTCCCAGAACGAGTGATCCAAAAGAGAGCAAGGAGAAGCCACATTGTCTTTTAGGACCAAGCCTTGGAGGTCACATATCATCATCTGAGCAATCTCCTATTAGCTACATAGGGTTAGCCCTATCCAGTGTGGGAGGATGCTATGCAAGAGCATGAATATCAGGAAGTGGGGATCATCAGGGGCCATCTTGGAGCCTGATGAGGGCACAGTCTGCCTTCTGCCTCCCAATGATTTATGTCCCTCCCACGTGCCAGACACACTCACCTGGCATGGGCCTTTCCCAAGGACCCTCAAAGTCTCAACTAAACATGGCATCAGCTTCAAATTTAGAATCTCATAGTCTAACTGAGGTCCAGGTTCAGATGAGGCTTCTTGGGTCTGGTTCCTTGAATGCAGCTCCTGGAGCACAGTTCTTCTCAATGCAAAGACCCCTGAACTAAGGAGACAAGTTACTTGTCTCCATAGATGCAATACACCATGGTGGGACAGGCATGGGAACTTACTCTAGAGTCTAGAACAGGGGTCCTCAAACTTTTTAAACAGGGGGCCAGTTCACTGTCCCTCAGACCGTTGGAGGGCCGGACTATAGTTTAAAAAAAAACTAGTCGGCTACTAAGCAACAGGCAGTGGTGGCAAAAAACACCCGGCGGGCCGGATAAATGTTTTCAGCGGGGCGCATGTGGCCCGCGGGCTGTAGTTTGAGGACCCCTGGTCTAGAACATTCCAGTTCAAATGGGAGGAAAAGGGAGACACGGGAGTCATTCATGAAGAAAGGACTCTAATGTTTTATGAGCACCCACCCTGTGCATAGTTCTGGAGCCTCTTGTTCATGATTTCAAAGACCCTGCAGGGGAGAGAGTGGGGGTCAGAGAGTTGGGGCTTTGCAGCTAGTAGATGACAGAGGCAGAATTCAAACCCAGAATTGCCCGAATCCCAAGCCTGAGGCCTTCCACCACTCCAGGTGGGCATGAGTGTGACCTGGGGACAGGTGTGGTAGAAGATGGGGAAAGCCTGGTGAAGGTTAGATGTGGGGGAAGGTTTTTGCAACAAGAGTGAAGGCTTTCACAAAGGCTTTAGTCAAAGTTAGTTGTCTCCGCTCATCTTTACTCTCAGAGTTTGCTTCTGCTTATAGCAGTGGTTCTCAACCTTCTGGCCCTTTAAATACAGTTCCTCATGTTGTGACCCAACCATCACATTATTTTCGTTGCTACTTCATAACTATAATGTTGCTACTGTTATGAATTGTAATGTAAATATCTGATATGCAGGATGGTCTTAGGCGACCCCTGTGAAAGGGTCGTTTGACCGCCAAAGGGGTCGTGACTCACAGGTTGAGAACCGCTGGTTTCTAGCGATGATGTATAAAAACCTCTATGAATGGAGATTGAGACAGGTTACAGAAGGCATGCAGAGTGCTTGAGAGAAGCTGAGATGTCCCCTCAATCTCTGATGTCCAATCCCTTCGTCCTTCCTTGGTTTGTGTGGTTGAGGATTTGAGCCCCCTTAGCATCTGCTCTCTGGGTAGAAGTGAATGGGAACCTGTGCTGACCCGGGACTACATCGCTGCTTTCCAGGGCAAAGGACGTTGGAACCAGCAGAAGACACGATCTCCCAAGACTCCCACCTCAGTGAAAGCCACGGAACTGTGCACACCCTCTAAGTGCCGAAGTGCCAGCCTAGAGGAGGCCTCAGAGCCCCCAGCAGCCCTGCAGATTCCCCCAGAGGCACGTCGGCTCATTGTGAACAAAAACGCGGGCGAGACCCTCCTGCAACGGGCGGCACGTCTTGGCTATAAGGTAAGGAGCATCCGGCTGCAGGACACAATTGCCCTAGCATCTGGAGAAACCCTCCCATTGGCTCTTCTGTGGCCTGGGCAGGGCTTTGTTTGGGGCTTGAACCTGGCTGGCCTCCTTGTTGTGAATGCAAGCTTATTTGAATGGCAATTTAGAATGAACATAATTGAAATGGTAACACAATATTATGCAATACATTTCTAGGCCAGAAATGGTTTTGAGGGGGTTAAGTTTTCTTGAATTACCTTGTTCAGTGGCTCCTGCACTCAGAGGAAGAGGAGTGATCATAGAGTAGGTCCTCCTATTTTTAGGTTTCTGATGCCTATACCCAACTCTTTTAAAATATCTTTTTATCGCCCTGACCGGTTTGGCTCAGTGGATAGAGCGTCAGCCTGCAGACTGAAGGGTCCCAGGTTCGATTCCGGTCAAGGACATGTACCTTGGTTGTGGGCACATCCCCAGTAGGGGGTGTG